AGCGAACAGACACAACTTAAAAATGAGAAAAAAGCAAAGTGTACTTAACAGAAGATGGAAGATCATATTGACAAATAAAAATGGCAAGCAATAGGATATATTGGAGTATATGAGGAAGCCATTTGGTAGAAACCTAATTCGGCCTGACTTCTTTTTTTTTCCTCCAAAAGGGCCTGACTGGCTATTGAGCACGCACTGCATATCTGCTTAGACATTTCCTTTGGCCAGAACAAAGGCCCTTGAGATAAAGATGGAACTTCCCCCCGACATTAGCATTTTTCTCTAGGCTAGGAACTGATTGCTGCACTCACCTCCCAGCTCACCTGTGACCACCCAGCTGGAGACAACAGACTGCCACCCTGCTGTGTTCACAGAGACAGAAGACCTACCTGCTATTTCCATCAATCGCTGTGCCGACAGAGCAGTCTCACGACTATTGTGGGAGGGACATTTCAATCCTATGTGAAACATCCTCTTTGAGGGTATATAACCACCCTTATACCCCCACATCTTTGGAGTGCTCTGTTCCTTTGTGGAAAGACTCTCCCGGGTTATAATCCTCAGATTTAAGCTCAGAATAAACTCACCCAAATTTTCATTTATAGATTGGATATGGATTATTTTCGTCGACAATATAGTTGGCCCCACATCTCTACAAGTTTTGGTTCACGGTTGGTTGATTCTGTGGATGCAAAACCTGTGGATGTGAAGGGCCAACTATATATACAAGGAAATGTCTAGCCCCTTGGCAATGAGGTAAATAGAAAATAAAACATCCAGTAGATCCCATTTCACAGTGATTAGAACAAAAATTTTTCAATTAAATAATCCCATAAACCCAAGTGTTGAAGACTATTGTGAACAAATCAATAAATTATGCACAAATGGAGGAAGGGTCAAGTCATGTACTCCATTGCTATTTCCTGTAAATTTGAACTTGATCACCATCTACAGCCCAGCAAGTTTTCAACAATGTCCACAGAATGCACTTGGAGGCTCATACAAGGGTGGCATGTACTAATATCAAATGATCTGGAGGATTTGTCAACAGAACAATAAAGCAATGAGTACTGCAAAATATGCAGCATGTTACCTATTCTATAACCTTTATGGTCACCTGCACAAGCAGGTGGACCCCAAACCATGATTTGGTTCAGATGTCTACGCTGATGATAACACACACATGCCTAGAGGGTATGAAAGGGTTTACCACTCCCGTCATGGAACTGTCAGGGGAGGGCAGGGCAGGCCTCTCAGGCAGGTGGGAAATGCCCAGAGAGAGCAAGGAGAGGAGCCTGGCCTGGGTATTTTACTGAAGGAGGCGGGCTAGGGGGAGAGTTTGGGTAAAGGGGCAGGGCCTTCTGTGGACTGAATCATTTGCCAGAACTAAAGGAAGGAGAACCCAGGCTTTCTTATCACCACGTTCAGATGTGGGGCACAAGGGAATGAAGGAGAGATGAAACTTTAAAGCTGTCAGTGGTCAAAAAAAAGGAATTAGAGACTTCTGATCTCTGGTCTGGCACGTCAAGAGCTTAGAAACCACCTTCCAGTCTGCAGAAGAGAAAAGCCAAGAAACCTAAAATCAACTCTTCCATCAGACAAATGAGTACATGGGGTAAACTAGCATCCCCCAAATTAGAAAGAGAGACCAAAAAGTAGGTATTTTAAAATATGCCCAGAATATTTTATTCTTGGGGCTGGCCCCGTGGCCGAGTGGTTAAGTTCGCACGCTCTGCTGCAGGCGGCCCAGGGTTTCGTTGGTTCCAATCCTGGGCGTGGACATGGCACTGCTCATCAAACCATGCTGAGGCAGTGTCCCACATGCCACAACTAGAAGGACCCACAACGAAGAAAATACAACTATGTACCAGGGGGCTTTGGGGAGAAAAAGGAAAAAATAAAATCTTAAAAAAAAAAAAAGAATATTCTATTCTTATCAAAGCACATCCTCAAAACAATCTATTTCACAAGAGCATAACTGACTGGGACCTTCCCAGAGCCTAAGTGACCTGTGGGGAAGGAAAGAGCCAACTTGAGTCTCTTCTAGCATTTTCTGCTCTCAAAGGTGGGGCACTTGTGAGAATGATAAGGTTTTTCCCCTCCAGACACCAAATACATGGTATTGGTTCCAATGTCACTTCTCCAACTCTATGTCACCAAATAGATTTGAATTGAACTGTTGGACATCTGACACTAACTACGCAGAGTTCTTGTCAGACTCCACAGGTTAAGAGCTCAGTCCCACACACTGACTGTTCTGCAGATGCCGTCCACAAATGGGGTGGCTGGGCTGCTGACATTTCCACTCAGCCATCTACAAATTCATAGATTCCCTGGACACCCATCAGGTTTGGTAATTTCAGGACAATTCTGAGAACTTAACAAAGCACTTTACTTACTATTATTGGTTTATATAAAGGATACAACTCAGGAACAGTCAAAAGGCAGAGATGCACAGGGCAAAGTAGGGCAGTGGTATGGGTGAGGGGAGTGGAGGCGGAGGGGGCTGCAGAGATTCCACATCCTCTCTGGACACTCCACCCTCCCAGCACCTGCATGTGTTCACCAACCCAGGAACTCTCTGAATTCTGTCTGTAAGGGTTCCAATGGAGGTTTCATTACATGGGCTCAATTTATTAAATCATTGCCCATTGGTGATCAACCCAGTCTCCAGCCCCTCTCCTCTCCACAGGAGCTGGGAGCTGGGACTGAAAGTTCCAAGCCTCTAATCAAGGCTTTGTGTTTCTGGTGTCTGACCCCCATCCTGAAGCCATCTAGGAGCTGGCCAAGAAGTGCCTCATTAAAACAAAAGACACTCTATCACCCTTATCACCCAAGTATTCCAAGGACTTCAAGACCTTTTTGCTAGGAACTGAGGACAGAGATCAAATATCTTTCTTATTATATCACAGGAGGTCAAACCCAGGGACACAGCCTCACTAAGAGATTGAGACCCAATTGCTAGACTAGAGAATGCTTCCCCTCTGCCCACACCTCCCTCTACATCAACTGGGCTCTTGTTTAATATTAGTGGACTACACTGAAGGAACTAGATGCTTTCTAGTAACATCAGGAGGAAGGCAAGGATGTGCCCTCTCATCACTCCTAGTCAACCCTTTACTGGAATTGTTAGCTAATGCAACTAGACACACAGAAATAAGAGATATACAGACTGGGAAGCAAGAGATAAAAATGTCTTTGTGGCATATAACAATGTTGTCTGTGGAGAAAATCTCGAAGAATTCCCAATGACAAAGAAAATCTCTTGAACATTAGTTCAAGAAGGATAAAAGGTTAATATACAAAAGTCAACTGTTTCCTATAGAGCCACACAAATATAGTAAACTCATCTTTGACAAAGGAGCAAAGGCAATTCAATGGGGGAAACACAGTCTTTTCAACAAATAATGCCAGAAAAACTGGACATCCACATGCTAATGAAAAAAAGAATCTAGACACAGACTTCATACTTTCCATAAAGATTAACTCTAAGTGGGTCATAGATCTTAGTGTAAAACGTAGAACTGCAACATTCCTGAAAGAGAACACAGGAGAAAAAGTACTAATATTCTGTTCCGTGTGTAGACCACATTTTGTTGATCCAGTCTTCTGTTGATGGACACTTGGGTTGCTTCCACCTTTTGGCTTCTGTGAATACCACTCCTGTGAACACAGGTGTACAACTATCTGTTTGAGTCCATGTTTTTTATTCTTTTGGTTAAATATTCAGAAATGGAACTGCTGGATCATGTGGTAGCATTCTCTGTAATTTTTGAAAAAGCACGATATTGCTTTCCACAACGGAGACATGGTTTTACATTCCCACCAGAAGTGCACAGGGGTTCCAATGGGTGTTTTCATTGTCTTGGCGGTGTCCTCTGAAGCACAAAAGGGATTACTTTCAGTGAAGTTCAAATTATCTGTTTTTTTTTCTACCGGTTTTGCTTTTAGTATCATATTTAACAATTCTTTGCCAAATCCAAGGTCATATTTGCTCCTACATTTTTTCTAAAAGTATTGTAGTTTTATCTCAGATTTAAGTCTTCAATTTGTTTTGGTAAATTATTTTATGTGGTGTAATGTAAGGGTCCAACTTCCTGCTTCTGTATGTTGCTGCCCAGTTGTCCCAGTACTATTTTTTTTTTTTGAGGAAGATTAGCCCTGAGCTAACATCCACCACAAATCCTCCTCTTTTTTGTTGAGGAAGATTGGCCTTGGGCTAACATCTGTGCCCATCTTCCTCTATTTTATATGAGGGATGCCTGCCACAGCATTGCTTGGTAAGCTCTGCATAAGTCCATGCCCAGGATTTGAACTGGTGAACCCCAGGCTGCTGAAGTGGAGCACATGAACTTAACCACTATGCCACTGGGCCAGTACTGTTCCAGCACTAATTTTTGAAGGGAATATTCTTTCTTCATTCTTGGCACCTTTTTTGAAAATCAATTGACCATAGATGAATGGGTTTATATCTGGAATCTCAATCAAATCCACTGGTCTGTGTGTCTGTCCTTGTGTCATTACCACATACCTTGATTACCATGCTGACTAGTCAGGTTACAAATCAGAAAATTTTAATCCTATTAATTTGTTTTACTTTTGAAGATTGGTTTGGCTGTCCTGGTTCCCCTGCAATTCCATATAATTTATGAAACAACTTGCCAATTTCTACTGTCAACTTAACAAGCAAATTTGCCTGTTATTTTATCTCAAAATGAATTTATTCAAGAGTAGCCAAGAGCCATTCCTGATGGCCTAGTGGTTAAAGTTCAGTGTGCTCCACTTCGGTGGCCCAGGTATGGTTCCTAGGGGTGGAACCACATCCCTTGTCTGTCAGTAGCTGTGCTGTGGTGGTGGCTTAAATAGGAGAACTAGAAGAACCTACCACTATCATACATAACCACTGGGCTTTAGGGAAAAGGAGAAGAAGAAAGAAGAAGATTGGCAACAGATGTTAGCTCAAGGTGAATCTTTAAAAATAAATCCATCCTTTAAAAAAAAAGAATAGCCCAAAGAATTGCAATTTGGGATGGCGTGCTATGGCAAACCATGGGCAAATCCACCAAACTAAGAAAAGGAGCTGCTTTTATAGAGAAAAATGGGGTGTAGGGATTGGTGTTCTAAATGAAAATCTACTGGGGATGTTACCGGCACATTGGGTTGTTATTGTCCCCCAGGATAGAAATGAAGAGAGACAACAAATGGGAGTAGAAACGTAAAAGTCTATTAGCTTGTGCACAGGAAAGGCACAAGTGAGCTGGTGCAGAAGGGAAAGGGGCAGGTAACTGGGTTGTTAGTGAGCAGGATTGTGGGGCTTTCATCAGGCAAAGGCTGGGGAGGAGGTCCTTGTCATGGCATGTAGAGGTGGGGTTGTGCTTGTGCTCGCACTGTTGTTCAACATGCCTTTTCATGTGACATACGTATCACTAGCATGCTAGCTCTCCACCCTTAGGTGTGATTTTTATTATGCTAGTGGGGCTAGGGTCACCTTCAGTGCACTCCTGGGTGCTAGGGCGCATGTGTAAGCCCAGGAAAGCGCAGAGGCTGCAGAATGTGGATCTTGGTGGCCTCTACCTGATTCTCCTAGTTTGTCGATTGGTTAGGGCCAATCTTGTTAGGGCTTTATCTTGTTAGGCCCAGGGCCTTGCAGATGGCCCTGTGTCTTTAGGATGGTTCCTGTCTCATTTGCACCCAGCTAGGGCTGTGGGTTCCAACTTTGCACCAGAGCTAAGGGCTTGGGAGGCCATAGGGTTCATTAAAGTATGATATCAACGGAGGTGGGAAAGCCCTGGGTAGGAGATCAACACTGTCAACAGAGATCAAAGGGAAGCCAGACATTATTACATACGGCGAGGTGACTTTTAAGTGTCTGTGTTTGCAAAGAAGGGTCACAGTTCCTCGAGTGGCCTCACAGCACCGCGTTTCACTGGAAAAGTCCCTGGAGAGGACAACGTCCAGCTCCAACTCAACTCAGAGGTGCAATCTCCATCCCGCTGTCACTCAGGACTGAAGGGCCTTTCGAACTGTCCAATCAGGGTCGGTCCCGGGGCAGGTGGGCGGGGCGACACTCCGCAACCACCCCCGACTTCCTATAGCTCTACCCTCCTTCCGGTCACGGGTCGTCTGCCCTTGACCTCCTAACGGTTCTCTGCCGCGAACTCCGTTGCGTTGTGACCTGATCCGAAGCGTAGGGAAGACGCCGGGGGACCCACGAGCCTCAGCGATGGTGAGGGTTCAGCCCCGGAGGAGGCGGGGCTGGTGGGAAGCGGCGGGGCGGGCCCGGCCTCCAGCGGTCCCCTCCGGGGTCTGCGGCCCCGAGTCCGCGGTGGCGCCGCTCGGCCCTCAGGCCCCTCCGGCCGCAGCGTGGGGGCGGGGCCGGCAGCCGGGCCCCGGGCGTCCTGCGGTCCCTGCGCGCGGCGACTTGGGCCGGAGCGTCTCTGGGCCGCTGTGCGCCCGCAGCCCCGCGTGTCCCAGACGGTGCGGGGCCCGCGGGAGGGCCCGCAGGACAGTCGGGCCTCGGTCTCCAGGGTCCGTGCGCGGAGGGGCTGTGGTCTGTGGGTCCCCAGGGCCTCCTTTCTCCTCCGAGGGGACCCGTTTTCTCCTGAGTTTTCCAAATATTTGGGGATCAGTCTCGAATCCACAACCTTGTGCCCCCTGCCTAGCTCTTCCTAGGGCTGGCAACAAATACCTAAATTTCCAGATCCTTCCTTGCATTCCCAAACACCAGCTTCCCCTTTCTGATTCACAGCATCATCATCATTTCATTTCACGGTATTATTAGGTCAAACAGACCCAATATTTCAATTGTTTACCCTTTTTCCACCAAGCCATGCATGGCTTCTATTAAAGATGAATTTTTTGTCTGTGGATGTTTTACGTGAGTGGAAAGCTGAGAATAACCACCAGGAATATGGAGTATGAAATCCTTGTGCCGGTCCCTCGGGATCTTTCCAAGGTGTTGCATCCTGGTAGCACTGCCCCTCCCTGGGTCCATCATCCTGAAAAGATGTCTTGATTTACTTAAGTGTCCACTTTTCAATGGGTATTAAAATGTGTTTAAATAATAGGGCTCGAAAGACATTACAAAATATTTCCAAAGAGACAAGAGAGGTGAATTTTAGAAAAGATAAAATATTCCAGTATTACGTTCCATTTGTTAAGAATTCTTCTCTCGTTTTTCTTCCCCTGAGTGTGTGCAGTAAGTTCTGAGGACTCTTCTTTACTTTTGGGTGGTTTCATGTGAAATTCCAGGGCTTAGACTTGCAGATGAGAAGTGTTCAAGTGTGATGAGTTATTTAGAAAACAAGCTTGCCCTGGAAATAACTATTAACTCCCTTTTTTTCCTGAACACAATATGTATTTGGGGTTTTCCAGTTGAAGTAGTAAAAGTGACTTAGAATTTTCTTCTCTCCTTAACACAGAAACACTGGGTTTGAGTGATTTTGCTGAATTGTTCAGTGATTTTGCTGAATTGTTTAAACACTGGGTCTGTGTATTTAACGGATCAGTGGTGTTCCAAAGCATCTCCAGTGGGGGCAGAACCTGAGGGTGGTGAGTCTAAGCTAAGGCCCCCTTGAACCTGCAGAGGGAAGGCCTTGCAGGCCCAGTTGTCCTTCCTGGGGAGCCTCCCCCTGCAGGTGTCCTACTGCTCACACCCCCATGGAAGGAGCCTTCATCCTGAGAGGAGGTGCAGAGCCCTGGAAAGCTGGGGGTGCACGTGCTCATGGGGTGGGGAGTGACGCCCTTTCTGAGGTTGTAACTGGATTCCCTGGACCTACACATTTTAAATATTATATTTGAGTGTTGCATCATAGTTATAAGTGAACTGGGATTGTAATTTGTGCACAGTGAGAAAGTCTGTGAAGATCAGGTGTTCCGTCCTGTGGACAAAGGGTTCATGAATTTGGAGTTCATGCGGGTCAGAAGCTTAATCTGAATCCGGCTGAGAGTTTCCTCACTTGTGAGAGTGGGAGCCTGGGGGAGGCACTGCTTCCATGCTCACAGGAGAGGAAGGGTGTGTGGGGCTCCAGAGTTTATTCCTGTGGCTGCTCAGGTGTCCCTACCGTCCTTCACTAGGGTCTGACTTAATCTAGAGGTTGTATCTCAACCAGGAGTGTCTGGACCCCAAGTCTGGGAACGTGCTCGCTTTCTGAGTGTGGGTTTTTCTTCTGAACTGCAGGCCAGCAGGCTGCTTCTCAGGGCTGATTGGAATATTCATGTTTCTGTCCTCAGATTCCTTTATCAGTTGAAGATTGTGGCCCTTTGATTCTGGTTTCTGTTCACACTTCGGGTTTTAAAATGTAGTTAATTGACTGATACCGTATAAGGCAGGAAAATTGTGGAGCCAAATAGAATTTTTGTTTTTTTAGGCAAGAGAACCTCAGGACATGAGATCAATATATTAAGTTTTCAGGAGCATTTTCCACTTTTAGGTCAGTTTTTATAACTCCGTGTCCCTAGAGACTTTGACATTTAAAAGGCTATACTATTCCTAAAGCCAGTAAATTCCTATTTTAATGATTGTGAGGAAGAAACGTTTGAATTTTTGTTTTAATTGATATAACAAATCACTGCAAAGCTTATGTAAATCTGTCAAATTCCTAATACATTTAAAGGCTTAATTGCGAACCTGTAATGTATTATAATATGCTATCCAAAGCTTATGTAAATCTGTCAAATTCCTAATACATTTAAAGGCTTAATTGCGAACCTGTAATGTATTATAATATGCTATCTTTCCTGAAAATATCTCTGATGTTTACTATAATGGAGGGACAAACTTTGGTGTCTTTTCCTTTTGGTTAGAAAGGGATTTGTTAGTTTTCATTTTTTAAGGTTTAGAATTTGATTTCCATCATTCTTTAAAGGATCAAATCTTGGAGTGGTTTCCTATGTAGAAAAGTTAATTAATAAAGCAAAAGTTAATAGTAATGATTAAGCATAGGAAAATACATTATATAAAAATTTCTTTTTATTTTAAATAAATCATGCATTGGAAGGATTAAAATATTCCTTTGAGAGGAAACTCCCTTAAGGAGACTCCCCGCCTGCACGTCCTGCCCCGCTCCTCTGCCTGACTCCCGCCTCCCTACATGACCAGTTTTTACAGTTTTCTGTAAAAACAAGCCAGTGTGAATGCCTATTTTTCTTACCTGTGTTTGCTCTTATAACGAGTGGCCAGGGTCCACATCTTTGCTGTTTGACTTCTGAACACTTAAGCCTCACCCTCCCTTTTCCCCTGGGCCTTCTTCCCTGGACAGGCTGATGAGAAAGCCTGGAGGCTCCTGCACTGTGGGCTCCTGCTTGCTGGGCAGCTCCTCCTGGGCGCCGTGCTGCCCTGTGCTGCACTGTTGACCCCACCAAGCCTGGGTTCTAACTACACAGGACTCTGAGTTGGCAGTTTTGGTAATTCCTTGTCCTTTGGGAGCAGGCATATGACAATGGGCCCTCATTACAGTGGTCCTGGGTCAGTGTCTTGGCTGGAATCTGTCTGTGTTTAGAGTGCAGATGTGACTAAGGTTGGGTTTACCCACACATTGGGGAGGATATGGGGGAATATTGAGGGGATAAAAGCATGGTTTTACCCTGTGAATGAAGTGAGCCCTTCATATGGTCACTCCTGAAAGAGGAGTTATTTCAAAGAGAAGAGACAAGGAAAGGCAGCCATTAGATGGCAAGATCACAGAGGGCTCACCAGGAACTCTAAGTAACTGGGCTCCTGCCACCCCTGCATCTATTGCAACAACAATCCTGGCCCTCTGGGTTATAGTGGGCCACACCACAGTCTGAGTTTGGCACAGCAAAGGGATTAGTTCAAACCAACTTAAGCCTGGGTTCCTTAAACTCTATAAAGCAACCAGTTGTCATGGAGGAGGCCTCTGACCCTGATGGCAGTGGTGTGAGGCTCTCTGGAGGAGGGCCTTAAGTTGTCCATAGGCTTCTGATGAAGAAACTGCCTTGGTCCCCACACTATATGCCGCTAGAGCTGCTATTGTCACCAGGTACTGAGATTTCTTGAAAATAGAGGCTCTCACAGCACTGAGCATGAGACCCTCTGCCGAGGTGCCTGTAATGTTTTTGGCCCTCGGGACAGCCCCCATCAGCTCAGCCCAACTACTGACACTATTTGTAATAATGGAACCAAACCTTCGCCTTCTGGCTTATGCCACCTGCAGGAGGGATGACCTTTCTTTAGTCTCTTGGAAGAAGCTAGGGTGCTGGAGGATACCTTGGTTCCCTGGGTAGTTCCTTGGGATTAACTGAATGCACAGCACTGGGGAGTGCATAGACTTTAAGGACAACACTACACTTGTATATGAGGGAGCTCAAGTGGAGAGTTGCTGCTCTTTACCCCTTAATTGGGACCTCTCTGATGAAATACCAAACCTGCAGGTCACCACAGTAACCAAACATCAGTCCATCATTTTATTACTGCCCCACAGTTTGTCCCATCTGCATATTTTTCAGACTCTTGGGACTATTGTCCAAAAGTTGCCCCTTTGTGAACTCCAGGAATCTCTTGACTCAGAGATACCCAAAAGATAAATTGAGGTAATCCTTATCTGTACATTACTAAGTCCACAGTATGAGGACTCACCAGGACACTTCTTATCCACGTTGGAATTCCAGACACTACTGATGGTAACCAGGGCACTTCTCAGAGTATACAGTGCCTCTCTTTCCAACAAGATTTTTGGGTCTCGGCTCATAGAACACCATACTGGCTTATTGAAAGATTCTACTTAGGACTTTTCAACTTTGTAATGCTGTAAAAGTGATACCTGTTCAGTAGAAACCATACCTTGAATTTTGAGCCTTTCCCAGGCTAGTGGTAGGCTGGACAATGCTCTCTCATGATGCTGGGCAGCTCCCAAGTCAGCCACGTGATCCTCTTACAACCATTCAGTACAGTATTCAATAAATTACTTGAGATATTTAACACTTTATTACAAAATAGGCTTTGTGTTAGATGTGTTTGCCCAACTGTAGGCTAATCTAAGTGTTCTGAGCATGTTTAAGGGAGAGGAGAGTAAGCTATGTTTTTTGCCACATTAGGTGTATTAAATACATTTTCAACTTATGACGAGTTTCATTGCAAGTCAAGGAAGATCTGTAAGTTCAGTGGAATGAAAGATAGTCTGTATCAGTCATCAGGGTTGAATTGTAATGAGTTTGTCTTCGTCTTTTTTTAAGAATAGACCAGTTATTTCAGAGCAGTTTAAAGGA